TTTTGGGGTTCAGGGTTTTTGGGGTTCAGGGTTTAGGGGTTCAGGGTTTTTGGGTTTAGGATTCATGGTCAGGGCCCCGAAACCTCAAAACTCGAAACCCTAAACCTCTAAACCCCCTAAGCCTCAACCCCAAACCCCTAAAATTCGAAACCCCCAAAAACCTCTAAAAGCCCGAAACCCGAAACCCGAAACCCCTAGAGCAGCTAAAGCCCTTTGGGATGAGCTTTAGAGGTAATGGCACAAGAAAAGGGATCTATTTGGTTCGGGCCAGGGCCTCCGGGACACCCTAAACCAGAATCTTGGAAAAAAATATGTAAGCCCTAGGCTGTTTCGATATATTTAAGCCCTAAGCTATTTCGATTATAGTTAAGCCCTAGGCTGTTTCGATGTATTTAAGCCCTAAGCTATTTCGATTATAGTTAAGCCCTAGGCTGTTTCGATTATATTTAAGCCCGAAGCTAGTTCGATTATATTTATAAGCCCGAAGCTAGTTCGATTACATTTATAAGCCCTAAGCTACGTCGATTATATTTAAGCCCTAACCTATTTCGATTAGTATAAACCATCAAGCCTAGACTAATTGGATGAATATGAACCGTAAAGCTTCATCCCACTCTCATGGCTGTGGCAGAGCTCCAGGCGCAGCCGATTCACACGAATGGCCGCCTCAATGCAAAGGGCAAGGCACGGCATCAACCAGAGCTTATATAGGGTTTAGGGTTCAGGGGCCGGACCATTCAAAATCTCCAAAAGCCTGACAGACAAAGTGTCGTATCTGCGGTCCTTTCTCAGCCGCATGATAGCTTTTGTGGCCATCGGAATGCATGCAAAGACACACACGCGCAGAAACAAAGTGCAGTGCATGCACTGGCAGGCCACAGTTACGAACAAGGACCCAAAGGACTCGCTAGTGTATGCTGAGACAGAGAAGTGTCAGAAAGCATGGCATAGCGGCATAGATTCAGGAGAAGTGAAGGGTTGCGGGTGACATGCAGCCATCGTACGGCGCCTGCATATGCACGCATGGACGACTGGACACATCATTCTGCTCACCAACACCACCATCTCCGTCATGGACTCATCAAGATCACGAATCCTTCCTGACAACACTTCTGGTTCCCTGTTGGGGCCATATTAAAAAATGATCAGTTTTAATCCTTATTAGGGTTTTACGATAACGAAAATTTAAAATTGTATCCAACAAGGAACCGGACTTGAGGGCTCGACAGGGAGCCCAGTTCTCAACGTCTCCATGAGTTGGACAAAATCCTCCTGGTGCGCCCCGCATATGCAGAGGTCCCAGACCAAGAGGGATAAGAGAGGGGCGGGGGGCTATGGTTAGGGTTTAGGGTTCAGGGCTTAGGGTTTAGGGTCGAATTCTGCTAGGACTGGGGCATCGGGTTTAGCTCTTGAGCTCAAGTTCTGGAGGTTGTGGTGATGATGCTCATTGTAATATACTGGTGGCACTTTCGCCAAATCATATTCTGATTCTGACTGTGACGAAGATGGCCCTACAACGGTGTCCGTTATGCTCATTGTAATATACTGGTGGCACTTTCGCCAAATCATATTCTGATTCTGACTGTGACGAAGATGGCCCTACAACGGTGTCCGTTCCAAGCCAACCGATTGTGCCACGTAGTTTCTTATGTCTCAACCAAACCCTAAACCCTAAACCCTAAACCCTAAACCCTAAACCCTAGACCCTAAACCCTAAACCACTATCCCATAAGTGCACTAAGCTGTCTTGGGATTGTTTCAGCCAAGACGTCGCAGCTCCTCCGAACAGATCTCCTGCCGCCGGTAGTATGCCTGCCCAGAGCTGGGTAGTACTTGGAGGCCCAGGGGACTTAGTAAGTGGGTTATAAGCAGAGTTGTAAGAACCCTAAATGGAGATACCCTAAGTATAACCCTACTTATAACCGACTTACTAAGTCCCCTGGGCCTCCAAGTATTCTCTAGATTTAATCATCCCTTTAGCTACCCAAAGCTCAGTACGGCACCCTTGGACCCTAAAAGAGACCGCAATATAGAGAACTACCCACTTGCTTTCCCCGAGGTTAGTGAGTGCCTCGATATTTCATGGTCGGGTGTGCTGCTCTATGTCTGGAACCTCTCGCCGTAGCCATTGTCTGTAGCAGGAAAATACACTGACCACCCTAAACCCTCGACCACATCATCCCAATTCTGCATAACCCCACCAAGGGCATCGGCGCAGTTATCTTTGCGGTCCTTCTTTCTAGGCCGCATGGTTTCAAAACTTGTGCATTTAGGTTTATAGACAGTCAGCAGTGATATTATGCACATATGCCCAACATGACTTTGCACAACTGACGCACAGCCAAAATCATGCGCCCGGTTTCTGATGAACCCGAACTATGCTGTAGTTCTTTCAGGCAAAGCTCGCGCACAGTCCAAACTCAACGCCCCAAGCCCCAAACCCGCAAGCCCAAATCCAAACCCAAGCCTGAACACTCCAAAAAAGGACAAAAACAAAAAGCCGAAGCTCGAAACCCTAAACCCACTAATACAGGGGCCTTAGGCCTTAAATAGCTAGAATAGAGTTTTGGGGTCTCTTATATTAGAATTCATAATGAGGAAGCCCCGAAAACCCTCCATCATCAACCATGGGAGTGTCCCGAAAGACGTAATGCACTTCGATGAAAGCCTCGAACTTCTCGTTCTTGTACTCCCAGGGTTCGGTGTCCCGCCAGGCCTGAAAACTCGGGTTTAGGGTTTATGGTTCAAACCATCCAGACCCCCGGGAGGATCTAGAAAGTAGATCCGCTAATTTGGGACCCGAACTACTAAAGGGTACTTTATAGGAACCCTCTTAAGGGATCTACTTTTGGGATCCTCCCGGGGGTCTGGGTAGGCTTGCTGGTGGATTGAGAGCTGAGCCACTCTAGCATTCATTTAGGGGTTTAGGGCTTGAAGGGTGTCGTGGGGCTTGGTCAATATTTCATAAGGTTTATTGCGGGGTGAAAGGTGCCAGATACTGTCTTGCTTCGTCGTTTCCTCTGTCTTAGAAGGCTTGGGGTTTGGGGATTAGGGTTTAGGGTGAAAGGGTTTAGGGTTAAAGGGTTTTAGAGTTTAGGGTTTTCGGGTTTAGGGTTTTAGGGTTTTGGGGTGTGGAGTTTTGGGTTTAGGGTTTAGGGATTTCGGGCTCAGACTTCCAAACCCCCGAAACTGACAGACTCGAGGCCCAGGCGTCCTCACTCTTCCGGGCTTTCTTGGCCTTACCAGGGTCGAAGTTGGAGCACAGCATTGCTCGCGCACGTTCGAAGAAAAGTCCACAAACCCTAAACCCTAGACCCCTCGACCTCAGAACCCCTAAACCAAAAAACCCGTCAGACTTGCCTCCGTCCTAAACCCTGAACCGCAGAACCCCTAAACCCTAAACCCCTAAACCCCTAAAGCCCTGAACCCTAGAACCCTAAACCCTAAACCCTTAGAACCTGCCAGACTTGCCTCCACCTCCGCCTCGTCCTCGCTGTCCTGGTGAGGGACTTCCAGTCTTTCTTTGCTTACGATAGTTGGGGCTCTAAAGGCAAAGGGATTAGGGTTTAGGGGTGAGGGGTTTGGGGTTAAGGGTTTAGGGTTTGGGGTTTTAGGGTTTAGAGGTTAGGGTTTGGGGTTTAGGGTTTGGGGTTTGGGGTTTAGAGGTTGGGGTTTGGGGTTTGGGGGCTATAAAGGCAAAGAGCATGCAAGCTCCTCCTCTGCGTCATCTTTGTTCTTGCCACCCTTGCCTTTGCCCTTGCCACCTTTGCCTTTGCCAGACCTGTCGTGGGACTTTCCGAAAGGAAGGGGGGCACCTTATTCTGGGATCCTTATAATAAGGATCCTACTATTCAGGGTATTATGTTGAGGTTCCCTATTTTGGGAAACCCCCTCGTAGAAGGCACGTGGGCAGCAGCGCTACAGAGCTCACGAGCCAGAAGCAAGCCTGCAACTGAGATGGCAAGGTAAGGGTCCGTGCTTGCTCCCTCCGTGGATGCTGTGAAAGACTTTGATTTGAGTTGCCATATTGAGGAAACCACATTACCCACTATAGGTGTCAAATTACTATGGTAGCTTTACTTCAGTTCCTTGACAAGAACCCGATCTCGGCCTTCCTCGCTTCCGCTTGCCACCCATGCTGCACGCGGAGCTCTGCTTCTTGTATGTCGGATCTGTGGCTTGTGCAACGATAATGCGTCACGGCCTAAAGAGCGCATCAAAGTACCATGAACAAGGCCCATCAGTAACGGCCTAGGGAGCGGTGCAACAGTCATCCACAAGTAGAAGCTCAGCACTAGAGACTTAGGCAACCAGGGGCGAAGCGTGTGTCGCTCGCTGTTCGCAGACTCAGGCAATTAGAGGCGAAGCGTGTGTCGTTCGCTGTTCGCTGCATCTGGCTCACCGCACGGGCCGAGAAAATTCATGCAAATGAGGGCTTCGCAGCTCAACGCCACGAGTCTGCTGAGGCTGCTGCTGCAGACTAGGATTCCCTAAACCCTAAACTCTAAACCCTAAACCCTAAATCTTTCAAACAACGGTGCCTGACGGGAATCCATCTCTAGCGGAGCTGCTGCCTCGGGAGTTCGAAGTGATACCCCGATCGCTGTGGAAGCATTAAACTAAACATATCGGGGACTTGCCCCACTATGTTTAGGGGAAAACCCTAAACCCTAAACCCCAGTTTAGGGGGACAAAATACTTTCCTCCAAAACCCTAAAACCCTAAACCCTCCAAAAAGTTTAGTAATCCGAAGAAGCCCAGGCTTCAGTTCCTTAAACCGACTGAGAGCCCAAACCTGAGCTTCTCAGCCCTGCGCCTTCCTGCCAGCCATATCCGAGCATGTCACACCATGTCATAGCACAGCATAGCATAGCAGATCATATCACATGATATCATGCCATATCAAATCATATCATATCATATCATATGAATACAAGCTCATAGAGCGTAATATCGTAATCATCTAAACTGACACATGGAGATCTGGGGACCTCATTTTCAGACCAGCGCCGATCGATCACATCTCCCAGGTGTCCATGCCAGAAGTCGTCCGAAAGCTGCACCGGACCTGAACGCCGCTTGGGGGCCACATAAAATGGCGGTCTTGGTCCAAAAGTCCATGCAGGGGGAGCAACACACTACCTTAGGGTTTAGGGTTTAGAGGTTTAGGGTTTAGAGGTTTAAAAATTTTGGGTTTAGGGTTTAGGGACACTACGAATGATAATCGTCATATGCACCAGCATGGCAGCCAGCATCATCAGCATCAGAACAACACTATTATCGACCAAGCAATCTGCAACACATTCTGACGGGGTCAACTCAATGTCACTGTTGTCATGATCGTGAAACCCAACCGAGCAAAAGTAGAACTGCCCGCAATGACCAGATCCCTACGAACTCGAATCCTTAAGTGCCGAAATCCTAAAACCCAAACCTTCAGGAGTCTTCCGTAAAACCAGACCATGGACCCCAGAACCCAAACCCCCCCATCCTAACTCAACCGCTCATATCCAAATTTATCTAAACTTCCCCAAGCTCCCTTTAAATAAACCCTAAACTTCCTAAACCTTATATAAGCCTCCAAACGATCCAAAAAGCCTCTACCCGGGACCCCGGCGACCGAATTCCAACGTTGCCGGCGCCGTTGGCGGCTCGCGGCTCGGCACTTCCCCGTCTACGCGAAGCAGGACCCACCCGGGCCGCACTCCGGCCTGACGTCATTAAAGTTGTAGAGTATGCATATTGTTGTCTACATCTTATTTATCTTGTATATTGTATGATATTATTGCACATATCTTTTATTTTGCATTGTATGGTATCTATATGTATATATATATATCTATATATCTATATATCTATATATCTATATATCTATATATCTATATATCTATATCT